GATTATTTTTGTCAAATACATTTTTCTCTTGTGGAAGGTTGGTGCTATTATGCCATAGAAGTGGTATTATCTCACTGAACTTTATTTTGTGTGCCTCTTTTGGAGCTTTGTTGGCAAATGCAATCATGCTGTTGACAACTCTATAATCGTGTTTTGTTTGGAAGTTTCAAATGAATCCCAGAGAATTGTTTTTAGACACAGAAGTAGTTGGCTGTTGTTGTTGTTTTTAGCCTCAAGCAACTTGCTGAATTATTTTTTCCTTATATGTATATACAGTTTCATTTCTTGAATATGGCCAAAAGCTTTCCTTGCATTCTGGCTAAAAACTGAGGTTTTCTGCCTTTCTAGTTGACAGAGCCCTCCACACTGACTTGTCTGCCATTAAGGTCTTAGGTAGAGAATTGACCGAATCTATTAGTACTTAGCTTTGTTGCCTTCATGAAGAGAGAATGCATCTAGAAGAAAGCCAGAATTACCCTGTGATTGCCTAGGTTGCAGAAAACAGTTGTACTGGTAAGCTTTCTTGTCACACAAGTCATCATTCGTCTGTTTATTGAAGGTGTTGTGAATTTTAAGAGAATTTCAGATATTTTAGTTCCCTGAAACCCTTAACTTTCAGTAATCTCTATTCCATTCATAGATTACTCTTTTTTAAAAAAACAGGTATTTAGATTTCTGTTCTCAAGCCTGTTTCATATGTTTCCTTCAACAAAGGCCACCAAATTAAGATTCCAGCTCACCAAAGGACAGGGGACCCAGTCTGCTTGAATCATAGGAAGTGTGTGTGGCCCACGTTGACTGAGAATGATCTTTTGTTGTTGTCTTTGATGGTAGATGCCATGTTCTTTCTGCAAATCCATGAAGAAAAGTTTACACATACTGGAAAAACAGAGCCCTCCCCACAATAGGGAAAAACGACCATCCTTCCCCAGAGATGTGTTAACCTTCTACCTAATATACCCTATGAAGTGTTCAGTCCTACTAAAGCTGCAGTGACTGTGCTTCTTTGCTAAGGTGTGATTAAGAAGTTGAGGGAAGAATTTTATACTTTAATTCCTGTTTTAAAAAATGTCCAATGGAGAATGCTTCTAATAGCAACAACAGCATGCAGACATACTCTTGAACTTTTGGATGGGGCTTTATTTATCCCTAAGTACTTTTCTTGTCTCTCACAGAAGGGGTTTTACTCTCAGTAGGTTTAAGGTCTTGCCATCAAGGGTCCTGGAAGGGAGGTACAGCAATCTTCCCTTCCAGGACCAAATCTGTCCTTGCATGGAGGATGTTGTTGAATTAACATCTCATGTTCTGCTGAGTTGTCCATTGTACTATACATGTTGCTCTGAATTAACATTGTCAATTGCTCCACCTATACTGTGGAGGAAAACACATCCTTTTTGTTAGCTAATACATCTTCAGAAATCTCCACAAAGGTGGCAACATGTTCCTCAGTCACAATTGCAGTAAGGAAATTTTGGGTGTAAGCAACCTTTGTAATATTGTCCCATATTAGAAGGTATTAGCTACATTCTTCTTTCTTAACACTGTAGTCCACAGATTACTGTTAATGTTGTATATTTGTATTTTGGTCTATGACCATAAATAAACTATAATGTGAACATGTGCCAATCCCTAACAACCTCTTGAGCTGATTTCCACTACAAATTGTATGTATAACTAGTTATACTACATCAAAAAGCTGATTTCTTTTTTTCATACCATGCTGTTCTTTGGCTTTGTCCATGCAAACCTCCAAAGTTCAGTTCAAGTGCCTCCAGTTACTTTTGCTGGAAACCCAAGAGAGCCATTGCTGCTCATGCTGGGCAAGATTAAATGGACCAGTGGCTGAACTTATACAATTTCATATATTCTGCTTTTACCACATTAATTAAAATAATACAGTAGTTACTGTTATATAAAGTTGAGTGTATAATGATTATATGAACTTTTAAGAGCTTTAAGTTTCTGGTTTGGATAGATTACTGGGATCAGTAATCTATCCAATAGCTCCTTCAAAAAATATTCAGCGTTATTATTTAATAGGTAGAAAGTAATCCCTTTGATTTCATATAATTTAGATTTTTTAAGAGCAAATAAAAAAATTATATCTTTGTAAAGATATAATTCTAGGAGCTCAATTCTAGCTTCATGTTTCCGTAGTTGTGCACACCTCTTGGTTCAGAAGTAATACCATAACACTGACTGGAATGAAGTCTCTTCTTCCAGCTCTAAACAACCTCCATGACAACATGAGATTTCCCAACTGGTGCCCTTCAGATGTGCTGGGACTCCATGTCCCAGAATCTCCAACCATATTTGCTGTTGCCTTAGGGGAATTCTGGGCATTGTAGTGGTGACATATTTGGAGGGGGGTTGGTTGAAGAAGGCTGATTTGGATGCTGTAGGGCATCTGATAATACTGTTCCAGGAAATCACTCATATTAAATACTCAGCAAAGCACTGCTGTATTTTTCAGTTCTTAAACTTACACGCACGTATTTTCACATTGTTTTGGAAAATAATTGTAGGAAGCAAATTGATAAAAAGTTGGTGATACTTTTTTGTTGGTTTAAAAATCCATCAGGCATTAGTATGAGCTTGGCAGCTACTGATAATAAATGCAGACAGAATCTGTTTTTATGCCTCTAGCCTTCTTAAGCATGAATATCCCTGGGAGCACTTCATGTTGATGCAGAATGTGGCTTCCAACTTAGGATGTTCTCATCATTGTGTCCTTTGGTGTCTTTCAGATTCCGACCTGAGCATGCGCACTCTTAGCACTCCCAGTCCTGCGCTAATATGTCCACCAAATTCACACAGCTTGCAGAATGGAAAAGAATCTTCTACATCTTCCTCTTCAGTCACTGGGGAGACCATTGCAATGGTTCACTCACCTCCTCCAACCTGCCTTACCCACCCTCTCATTCATGCTGCCTCTCGGCTTCAAAAGGAACAGGCTAATATCAACCGGCTTCCCGACCCTTCCGTGATCCAGATATTCTCTTTTTTGCCCACCAATCAGTTGTGCCGCTGTGCTCGTGTATGCCGCCGCTGGTATAATCTTGCTTGGGACCCGCGACTTTGGAGGACTATTCACCTGATAGGTGAAACGATCAACGTGGACAGGGCTCTGAAGGTGCTGACACGACGACTTTGCCAGGACACCCCAAACGTCTGTCTCATGCTGGAGACGGTAATTGTTAGTGGCTGCAGGCGGCTCACAGACAGAGGACTTTACACCATTGCTCAATGCTGTCCAGAACTGAGGCAATTAGAAGTATCAGGTTGCTACAACATTTCCAATGAGGCGGTTTTTGATGTAGTGTCCTTGTGTCCAAACTTGGAGCATTTAGATGTATCAGGTAATGGAAAAAGTTTACATTTACACTCTGGCTGGAGTGTTTTGGATAAAGCATGTGAAATTTAATGGAGAAAATATTCTCAATATTTTTGATCGCAGTCTTGATAGTAACTTTTTCACTCTGTAGCTAACATTTTTAGAATCTGCTCTCTCTCTCTCTCTCTTTTAAAGAGTATTGAGGATTTCTCCACATAATCTTTTGTTTAGATCAAGGTTAGGAGTTTTTTCTTTATGTTTAAAATCGTAATCTGCACCGTTGAATACTTCAAAGTGTTTGTAATTGAGTATTAGTCTTTAAAGAGTGACAGTTTTAGCGTGCCATAACAACAAAGATCCCTGCGGCTCTTTAAACACTCACATATTTACTACTGCATAAGCATTTGTTGATCTCAGTTCATTTCATCAGGTATGCAGAGTTTGAATGTGTTGGTCTTTAGATGCCACAACACTTTGCAAAAGAAAGCAGTGTGATGTAGTGGTTAAGATGCTGAACTGAGCATGGAGACCCAAGTCCACCCATGAAAACTTGCAGGACAATGTAGGGCCAGTTATTTGTTCTCAGCCCAACCAAACCTCCAGGTGGGTTGTAGGTGAACACTGGAGGAGGGAGTGCCCTATATCAGGATTCCTCAACCTTGGCAACTTGAAGATGTGTGGACTTCAACTCCCAGAATCCCCCAGTCAGCAAGGCTGGCTGGGGAATTCTGGGAGTTGAAGTCCACACATCTTCAAGTTGCCAAGGTTGAGGAATCCTGATAT